GTGTCATATGGCCCAAGGGGCAGAGCGGCTTGCACAGCAGCCTGGACCTGTTGCAGAGCCTTCTTCTGTTCTGGGCCACATTTTATCTGCCACTGACACCTCAAGGACCATTGGTCTGCTGTGTCATATGGCCCAAGGGACAGAGCGGCTTGCACAGCAGCCTGGACCTGTTGCAGAGCCTTCTTCTGTTCTGGGCCACATTCAAAACTAGCAGCCTTTTGTGTCACTTGGTAGATGGGCTGGAGTAACACACCCTAATGAGGAATGTGTTGACTCCAAAATCCACATAGGCCCACTAGGCTCTGTGCCTCTTTCTTGGTTGTAGGAGGGGCCAGATGCAACAAGTTATCCTTCACCTTAGAAGGGATTTCTCAACATGCCCCACACCACTGGACCCCTAGAAATTTAACTGAGGGAGAAGCCCCTGAATTTTAGTTGGATTTATTTCCCATCCTCTGACATGCAAATGTCTTACCAATAAGTTCAGAGTAGTTGCTACTTCATGCTCACTAGGTCCAGTCAACATAATGTCATCAATGTAATGGACCAGTGTAATGTCTTGTGGAAGGGGAAGGTGATCAAGATCCCTGAAAACTAAATTGTGACATAGGGCTGGAGAGTTTATATACCCCCGAGGTGGTACAGAGAAGGTGTATTGCTGGCCTTGCCAGCTGAAAACAAAACTGCTTCTGGTGGGCCTTATGGACAGGAATGGAGAAAAAGGCATTTGCCAGATCGATAGCTGCATACCAGGTACCCAGAGATGTGTTAATTTGTTCAGGCAATGAAACCACATCTGGTACAGCAGCTGCAATTGGAGTCACTCCTTGGTTAAGCTTATGATAATCCACTGTCATTCTCCAGGATCCATCTGTCTCCTTCATAGGCCAAATAGGAGAGTTGAATGGGGATGTGGTGGGAATCACCACCCCTGCCTCTTTCAAGTCCTTGATAGTAGCACTAATCTCTGCAATCCCTCCAGGAATGTGGTATCATTTTTGATTTACTATTTTCCTAGGTAGAGGCAGCTCTAATGGCTTCTATTTAGCCTTTCCCACCATAATAGTCCTCATTCCACAGGTCAGGGAACCAATGTGGGGATTCTGCCAGCTTCTAAGAATGTCTATTCCAATTATGCATTCTGGAACTGAGGAGATAACCACAGGATGGGCTCGGAGACCCACTGGATCCAGAATGAGTCAGACCTGGGCTAAGACTTCATTAATCACCTGGCCCCCATAAGACCCTATTTTAACTGGAGGACCACTGTGATGTTTTGGGTCTCCTGGAATCAGCGCCAATTCAGATGCAGTGTCCAGTAGTCCCTGAAAGGTCTAATTATTCTCCTTTCCCCAGTGCACAGTTACTCTGGTAAAAGGCCACAGGTCTCTTTGGGGAAGGATGGGAGAAATATTAATAGTATAAATTTTGTTAGTGTACCAGGGTGCTTCCACAAGGGGACCTGCCCATCCCTTCATTCAAGGGGTTTTGGGTCTGCAAACTGGCTCAAATCTGGGAATTGATTGAGAGGTTGTGACTCTCTGTTTTTATTATTTGAGTTAGACTTTTGTTCACTTGACTCAGAAGTTTTCTGCTTATACAGATCAAGTAAGAATTTAGTAGGCTTCCTGTCTATTTGACTTATAGGAACAGATTGATTGACTAACCAATGCCACAGATCTACACGAGTCCAACTATTTTGATTATTGCTTTGCCTCTGCTGTCCATTATGGTAACTATACCCACCTTGCCTTTGTTGGTTGAGTGCCACCACTTGGCCCCTGCCATCCTGGCATCCACTTAGTCCCATTGCATTTAAGTATTCCAATTGCTTGACTGTGTTTCCTACTGTAAGGTCCAGTCTACAGAGAAGAGCAATCACAGGGCCCTTCATGGATGCTGGGGCTCCCCTCACAAATCTATTTCCCAAAGTATCAGTAAAAGGTATGTCTTCTGGAGCTTCCCAGTGTGGGTGAATGGGTTTTACATGACAAACCCACTCTAGCATTCCAATCTCCCTAAGCCTTTGAATCCCTTCCTGTACAGTTAACCAAGGGAGATCAGGCATCTATAACTCCCTCATAGTGGGCCATCTTTTGTTTCATACTTAACCCAACCAATCAAACTATTAGCACCTTTCTTAAGTTCCAAAGCTGCAACATTAAATGAAGAATCTCTGCTTAGTGGGCCCATATCAATAAATTCAGCCTGATCCAATTTTATGTTCCTTCCACCATTTTCCCCCACCCTTAATATCCATTCCCATATATATTCTCCCAGTTTCTGCTTGCATGAAGTAGGAAATTCATGTAGTTCTTTTGGAATGTAATGCACCTCCTCATGGGTCACACTTTGCACCTTACTTTTCAGGGCCTGCCTGGCCTTAAGTGTAGTTATGGGTCTAGAATCAAAGACAGATGGTGGGGTGGGTCCTGAGGAGAATCAGCATTGCCTGGCTCAGTGACTGCCTCAGGGGAAGCCATTACTGTTTCCTTAGGCAATGCAGAGTTATTCCCCTCACACAGAGGTGGGAAAGCCACTCTCTCTGGGGATGGGGGTGGGGAGTTAATTTCTGGCAAACAAAACTCAATGCAATTTAAGGGTTCCATGTCCCCAGCTTCATAAGGGTCTTCCCATATGTCCCCATCCCAGCTTGTAGGATTCCATTTGTTTTAGTCTGTTTCTGTTGATTATAACAAAATACACAGAACTGGGTAATTTATAAGAAAAAAAAATTTATTTGCTTACAGTTTTGGAGGCTAAGAAGTACAAAGTCCATCTGGTGGTGGTGATAGTGACATAGGGTTCTCACATTGCAAGATTGTGGAAGCAGAGAGAGCAGAGAGACAGACTCTTCATGCTTCCCTTTCAAAGCCCTCCAAACCATGCCCATGAGTACCATTTTTAATCCATTCACTATGGCATGGTCCTATAATCTAATCACCTCTCCAAGGCCCCACCTTTTGATTACCATAATAGGATTTCCCATCCTAACAGTCACAGTGGGGTCCAAATTTCTAATAAAACTTGGGGGACACAATTCAGGCTACAGTGAGTTTTGGCAGGACATAATTCAATCCATTACACCATTCTTTCCCAACCAATGCCCTCAATTTAACAGTAGATACCTTAGCGACATGGACCACTCTTGGTACCAATTTTCTGAATTAGTCCATTTCTGTTGCTTGTAACAAAATACCTGGAACTGGCTAATTTATAAGAAAATGAAATTTATTACTTACAGTTTCTGAGGTTGGGAAGTCCAAAGTCCAGGGAACACATCTGGTGAGGGTCTTCTTTGGTGGTGGCTTTACAGCAATGTAGGGGTCTCACATAGCAGAAAATGGAAGAGCAGAGGGCAGGCCCGTGGCTCACTTGGGAGAGTGTGGTGCTGATAACACCAAGGCCATGGGTTCAGATCCCTACATAGGTATGGCCGGTTAGCTCATTGGGTGAGTGTGGTGCTGACGACACCAAGTCAAGGGTTAGGATCCCCTTACCAGTCATCTTTTAAAAAGGAAAAAAGAAAAAAAGAAAATGGCAGAGCAGAGAGAGGGAAACTCCCACATGCTCTCTTTTTCTCCCCCCAGAGCCATGCCCCTGACCACCATTATTAACTCATTCACTACTGCATGGTCCTACAATCTAATCACCTCTTCAAAACCCCACCCTTCAATTACCATAATAGGATTTCCCACCCTCACAGTTACAGCAGGAATGAGATTGGGGGGACACAATCCAATCCATTGTATTCTGTCCCCGCTTTTCTTGTCTTCTGAACTTTCACCAGCACATAGGCTTTTTCCAGCAGGCTCCTCCAAATTCTTCCAGCCTTTCTTCAACATCCAGTTCCAAAGCCACTTCCACATGTTCAAGTATTTGTTATAAGCAACACCCTACCTCTGGTACCAAAATCTGTATTAGCCAGCGTTATCTAGAGAAACAGAATAAATAAGATATGTTATAAATATATGAGAGGGATTTATTAGGGGAATTATCTCACATGATTGTGAAGAGAAGTCCCACAATAGACCATCTGTAAACTGGATGCCAGTAGTGTGGTTTAGTCCAAGTCCAAATGCCTCAAAACCAGAGAAGCTGATGGTGTCTTTTTTTTTTTAAAGATGACTGGTAAAGGGACCTTAACCCTTGACTTGGTGTTGTCAGCACCACGCTCTCCCAAGTGAGCCACAGGCCGGCCCCTGATGGTGTCTCTTATGTAAGTCCTGGAACCCACAAGCTGAAGAGTGTCAAGCTCTGATGTCCGTGGAGAGGGGAGAAGGGTTTGTCCCAGCTCCAGTGGATAGAGAGAGTGATTCACCTTTTTTCTGTTGTTCTCTTGGGGACCCCAGCAGATTGGATGGTTTCCACCCATATTGAGGACCAATCTTTCCCACCCAGTCCACTCAGGCTCTCATGTTAATCTCTTCTGGAAACACCCTCATGGACACACCTGAAAAGATAGCTTTACCAGGTTTCTTGGATTTTCTTCATCTAGTCAAGTTGACACGTAGAATTAAACTTCACAGCTAGCATCTAAAATTCCATGGCTATCCAATCAGTAGTTTCCCTTTTCCTCATAAAGGGAATTGATGATTTTTCCATTTTCTGTTTTTTCTGTATATGGGACTGGGAGTGAGAACAAGATGTTAACTGAAAAACAGAAACATTTTGCAGAAGTGAAATCATCATTTGTTGAATTGAGAAGATGCTCATAGGCTATGAAACACACAACTATGCCTGAGTTGTCTGCAATTAGGGAATCAACCTGGAGCAGCATTGGGGAAACTTTGTGTGGGAAAAATTGCAGTCTGAGCTCAATGACTATTGTACATCTGACCGTTTCTATGGGAAAGAAACCCCATAGGTATTTAGCAGGATTCAGAACACAATCAACACCATAGGATTCATGCTGGAGATAAAATCTTTGAATGTAATGAGTGTGGGAAAACTTTTACATCTTATGGAATGGCAGAGAATTCACACTGGAGAAAAACCATATGAATGTAAGGAATGTGGGGAAGCATTTTGGCGCAGCTCAGATCCTATTAGACACAAGAATATTTGTCCTAGAGAGAAATTCTATGAATATACTAAATGTGGGAAAACCTTCAACCAGATTCCAGATATTACCCAACATTATGTAATCTCTTCATACAAGAGAAAAATATAGTCAGTGTGGAAGAGCTTTCGAGGAAAGTGAAAACTCACTCAGTATATGATAATTTAGGTTGGAAAGACAGTCATTGAATGTTTTTAGTATGGGAAATCTTTCATTTGAGCCTCACACTTTACCCACTAGAGAATGCACACTAGAGAGAAACCAAATGACTGTGAAGGGGGTGGAAAAATCTTCAAGTGGACCTCAAGTCTTCATAGGCACAGAGAATTCACAGGGGAGAGAGGCCCTATGAGTGCAATGACTGTTGGAGGCCTTCGATTGGCACCAAAACTTGGGGCAACATTGGGTCATCCATAGGGAGAAGCCACGCAAGTGTAGCACATGTGGAAATGCACTCTGTGGACATGTAAAACTTATCCAGCATCAAAGAATTCACACTGGAGAGAAACCCTATTTGTGCAAAGCATGCAGGAAACTGTTTGGAGGAAGGTCAGCCTTTGTTTCTCATCAGAAAACTCCTACTGGAGAAAAAGCCTTGTAAGTGCAAGGAATGTGGGAGAGTCTTCAGTTGGTGAGCCGGTCTGATTCATCATCTGAGAATTCATACTGGAAAACAGCCTTAGGAATGTGGAGAACATGGAAGAGCTTCCAATCCAAGCTTACCTCACTAGTATCAGAGAACTCGTAGTGAAGAAATGAGTTCGAAGAAGCTTTCCAAGGACACTGAAAGTTTATTAAACATCAGACCATTTATACCAAAGATTAGTTCTGAGAATATAAGATTGTTCATGAGCCCAGTTACACCTCATTCTGCAGTAATCTTCTCCTTTCCAGAAATCTCTTAGTGCCTTATACCTCTGTAATGCCATCTAGCATTTGGTCTTGTATTTGACTTGCATGAGGTTTTCTCCCATATCTTGGGGTCTTTAATACATATTTGTGAAATCTAAGAAGTAGTAAGTATAGGCATTTTTTCCCATCCTTTTATGTTCCATATTTCTTTATCTTTATGATTTAGGTGTAAACAGTGATGGATGCAGGAGGCCAGAACTGCCATCTTAAGGAGGACCACCATCTTAATGAGGCCATTGGACTAGAACAAGATGAATGACTGAGTTTCATTTCCTTGTTCTGATGACACCAGCTTCTGCCCTTTTTTTATGTCCACCTTTCTTCTATTGTTTCTGCCCCTTCTGGTCCTTTTGTCCAGAAAAGAAATCCTCAGCCTGCAGGAGACACCCTTTTGCCTGCCATACTCTACTGGTGGCGAGAGGAGCCCTTCTCAGTTTTTATCCTTTACTAAAACCTGCTCTTGATGTAGAGGTCGATTTTTTTGCTGTCTCCTTTCTATTTTTCTACCTTATAAACAGCAAGTATACGGCTTTTCTTTATTCAAATTGACAGTCTTGGTCTTTTAATGGGAGTATTAAGCCCATTTACATTTACTATGGTAACTAGTAAAAATAGCTGGGCTATTTTTTACCAGCTTATTTTACTTTCCATTTGGTGCACTTCCTATATTTTTATCCCCTCTCTTTTTTTATTTCCCATTCTACTGACAATTTTTCCATTCTCATTCTATTTTTTCACAGTACTCGTTTGGAAGATAACTACTCTGCCTTGGTTTGTGTCCCCCCAAAATTTGACTCCTACTGTGACAGTGTTAAGAGGGTGGGAAATCCTATTAGGGTCATTGAAAGGTGGAGCCTTGATGAGGTGATTGGATTGTAGGACCCTGCAGTAGTGAATGGATTAATAATTGAGGTCAGGGGTATGGTTCTGAGGGCTTTAAAGGGGAGCCTGAAGAGTCTGTCCTCTCTCTGCTCCACTATTTTCTGCCATGTGAGACCCTTGGGTCACTGTCGCCACCAAGGTCTTCACCAACTCTGTTCCCAGGACTTTGGACTTCCCAGCCTCTGAAACTGTAAGAAATAAATTTTGTTTTCTTATAAATTAAAAAAAAAAAAAGTAGTAAGTATAGGAAAACAGGGACCTTTGAAAGTCCAAAACTCCACAAGACATTGAAGGAGCTTGAAGGTCAAGTCAAAAGGGCCGTTTTGGATGAGGTGGGAAGTCTAGTGGCAGACTCATGGCTATTAACTCTGATATTGTAACCGAGCAGTAAAGATCTCATTGAGTTTGGTTGCTCGTGACGCCAAGAGCCAACAATTCAGTGAGGCAAAAGTAACGCCTGGAATGATGGCAGGGGATATAGCCCACCTCCGTGACTGACTCAAGTTTAAGGTTTTTAAAGGAAGAGAAGGAATGCAGGTGTGTGCAAGGAGGTCATGGGCGGGGGGGGTGTGACACGGGATTAGGAGGTGGTTTGAGGCAGACATCAGGGTTCCATGATGGACAGGGTCTCTGACGTCAGGGAGTCTGTGATCAGTGGTATTTCCTAAGGAAAAACTCAAAGATAGTAATCTCAGCCAACCTTCAGTGGAATATTAAAATACCTGACTTGGGCCCTTGACCAGGTACATGTATAATGCCATCTTCTTTAAGCAAGAGCACAGATTAATAACCAGCATGGTCTCTCTTTGACTGCCTTTGTCCACAAAGGTTGACTAGGAGAGTGGCGGAAACAGGAGGGAGGCTCAGCTTGGCTTCTTAACCCTTATGTATGCAGAGGCTATGTAAATGAGCACAAGGAAGAAAAGAAAAGCTTTTAAGAGAAATGCTCTGGGGGCCGGTTTTGATACCACTGCAGCATGTTCGTGCTTGTGTCCTATAGATCTGGTCACTTCCATGCACTACAATTCTGCATTGTTATGGATTACTGCAGATGGATCATGTTTGGGCGACTAGGCTTAAATTCAAAGTTTAAGGAAATAATCTTCATTTTTAGGGTAAATTAGAAGGATGCCAGTGTGATGAAAGCTGTGTATTTGATTTATATTAAAATCTTAGAATTTTGTAGCAGGAAGTGATTGAAGAACTGTAACCCAGCTGCCCATTTTTCAAATGATAAAACATAATCAAAGAGATTAGGTAACTTTCTCGAAGTTTTGTAGCTAGTAATGGAAGCCCTCCTAGGTCTCTTGCTCTCCTTCTAAAGCAACTTTTTTATGCACTGTTATCTCTTTGGATATGTGGTAGGTCACCTTTTTTAAAAAAAGTAATTTTGATGCAAAACTAGATTATCTGTTTCTGGTAAAAAGTCAGGTAGGTCAGTCATTCATGAAGAGGAATGCCTGCGTGAGCTAGATGACTCATAATGTTCCAGTGTAAAAGACAGCCCTTCCCACCACTTGGAAGTATTCAAATGCTAGAAAGGATGTTCCAGAAGGCCAGCTGTGACTAAGAGATAAATAGAGGCTGCCTCCTCTGAAAAATAAGATCATATCAAGCTGGGCAAATCTGAGAGCTAGCTAAAGCACTGAAACTTCTTAAATGTCAAAACTGTTAAGGTATTTTTAAAACTCTGAGACTTTTATTGATTTTCACAGCTGAGAGGATGAAAGCAGTGGAAAAGCGTGAAAAGAATCTGTAACATATAAGTTTTTCTATACTGGGAAGGTTTTTGTTCGATGTTGAATTGCCTGAGTTTTTTTTTGTGTCATGGGCTGAATCGTGTCCCCCAGATTCGTGTGTTGAAGTCCTAACCTCCAGGACCTCAGAATGTGACTGTATTTGGAGATTGGGTCTTTAAAGAGGAAATTAAGTTAAAATGAGGTTTTCAGGGAGGGCAGTAACCCCATCTGACTGCTGTCTTTATAAGAAGAAGAAATTAGGACACGGACACATGCAGAGGGAAGACAACGTAAGGCCACAGGGAGCAGGCAGCCGCCCACAAGCCAAGGAGAGAGGCCTCAGAAGAAAGCAACCTTCCAACACCTTGATCTTGGACTTTGGCCTCCAGAACTGTGAGGAAATAAATTTGTGTTGTTAAGTACCAGTCTGCAGTACTTTGTTACGGCGGCCCTAGCAAACTAATACAACTTGCGAAAGTCAGTGAGCTCATGTCTTCTGGTAATTACACTGAAGCACGTTTTACAGAGTTCTGGTGAGTGCACAATACAATCGTCTTTGGGTTCAGTTTTTCTATTCCAGAGCTACCGGGTTCTAATTTCTAATTCCCAGACAAGCCTCTTTGTTTCTGCCATTCACTCTGAGTGTGGCATGTGGTTGTTCTGGTGATTAACTCCCAAGAAGCACAAAGAACACAGTCTTTGCCTATCTCCTGTGATCATGGAGGCTCTCAGGATGGGGCTACTGGCCTCTTATTATTCTATGGTTGTTCTGGTGATTAACTCCCAAGAGGCACAAAGAACACAGTCCTTGCCTATCTCCTGTGATCATGGAGGCTCTCAGGATGGGGCTACTGGCCTCTTATTATTCTAAGAATGCTATTTGGCATACTGGTGCAGGGGTTTGGGGTGCCTTCCTCCTGCCATGAGTTTGGAGGGGGGTTGGGGAGGGGGTAAGAGCTGAGCTTCGGTGCCCTTCAGAAGCACGTGGGAGTGTCATTCCCATACTCAGGGAGGGGCTAAGCTCAGAGACCTGTGAGCCTGTCACATGCTTTCTTTCTCTTCTCTGGACAGGACCGGATGGTCCCACTTCCCCTCAGCTCTAACCATCCAGCCTGCCAACACTGCAGTAATATCTGGGTGCAGGGAGGGGTCTTTATTCTTGCCATACACCTTTCAGCCTTACAGAACTGGGTGGGGCAGGAGCCAGGTCCCAGTTGACCCTGATGAAAAATTTCATAAAGATGTGTAGCCAAAGGGCAGGAGGCAGAGGCTGACCCTTGGGAAGGGGTATATTGCAGTGTAACAATAAGCACCACTGAGTGCTCACTCAGCAGGGTGCCAGCACAGAGACAAATTCTGCCTTCGTCCTTCCAGTGACTCTCCATAGTCGCTACCACTATACCTACTTTACAGATCAGGAAACAGGCTCAGATGAGAAAATTGAGGCACAAAGAGGTGAAGTAACTTTCCTGAGTTTACACAAGCTACTTAGTAGCAGAGCCAAGAATTCCGGACAATAAGCCTTTATTCAGGACCCACCGCATGCCTGGTACGTGTTAAGAGGACTACAAAGAAAAAGAAAACCCAGCCTCTCCTCCACACAAGTGCATTGTTTAGTGAGAGGAAATGGTAAAGCAATTATTACCATATGATGGGCAAAGGAGCGCAGATGGGAAGGGTCTTGAACTTCAGACCGCGAAGTTAAGGAAAAGTTTAGAAGAGGTAATGGCAGAACTGAGTTTTGAATGGTGAGTAGGAGTTTATCAGGTGGAGAACAGTCTAGTGCACTTTGGAGTCGTGCTCTTGGGTGGGATCTAGCCCTGGCTCCTAATAGCTGAATGGCCTTGAGCAAGTTTCTCAATCTCTCTCAGCCTCAGTTTTATTATCTGTGAAATGAAAATAATAATAACCACTTCATATTGTTATTTTGAGGATCAGATAAAATAACGCACATTGCCTGAAAAAAAGTAGGTGCTCAGTAAATCACAGGGAATTTCCAAAGAAAGGAAACAGAGGACTTGTTGTATACAAAGGGGAATGGCGAGGTTGAGGAATGTGGCTAAAGAGGTGGCAGGGTCTAGATGGCGCAAGGCCTCGTTTGC